CCACATCGGGCTCCCTGCTCGGTGGGAAGCCTGCTTCTCCGTCTCCTGCTCCCCCTGCTTGTGTTCTCTCTCTCGCTGTGTCTCTCTCTGTCAAATAAGTAAGTAAAATCTTTAAAAAAATAAAAATAAAAATCCATAATAGCAGAGGAGTGCCTGGGTGGCTCAGTCAGTTGAGCGTCTGACTGTTGATTTCGGCTCAGGTCATGATCCCAGGGTCATGAGACAGAGCCCTGCATGGGGCTCTGCACTCAGCAGGGAGTCTGCTTGAGATCCTCTCTCCCTCTCCCTGCTCACATGCTCACTCTCTCTAAAAATAAATAAATAAATCTCCTAAAAAATTAACAATAGCAGAAAGATTTTCTCCTCTGCTTTCAAGAGAGAAGGGACACAGAGCCAAGAGGCCGGGTGCTCTGCTGGGTCCTGCGTGTACGATTTGGAGAACCAGCACCGTCCGCAGCACCTTCTGAACGGGAACAGCAGGAGGTCGAAGACACCAGAGCCTCTCCTTGGTTGTGTGAATTCCTGCAATTTCATATCATCTTCACAAGAGCCCTAAAGAGGTATCTGATCGGAGTGCCGGGAAGTGCCTTTCACTGGGGATCAGCACGCGCCCTCCTCGCTTGCCTGGGGTCGTCACCCTCTACCGTGAGACAACTCTGCGCATGGCTGCTTCTCACTCCTAGTCACAGAGATGCTGCCTCTGTGCATTTTACCACTCAGTGTTTCAGAGCCAAGGACTGGATCTGCTTCTCAAAGTCTCGGGGCGTGGACACTGACTGCTGATAATCTTGGGGCCCCCACTCTCACCACCCTGGGAGGGAACTTCCTTTGGCAGGGATACAAGTCCGCTAGTGTTGGCAGGCTGGCTGCCCCTGCTGACTTACTGGGAACCTATCATAGATGGGGAGGCACAGCCAACCACTGGCTTTCGCAGGGAGCGCCAGACGTTCCGACAGCACGTTTGGAAAGTGTTGGAGTCCTGGACCCTACTGCGGGGAGGAATGCCCTACAGAGCCAGGGAGTCTGGTCAGGGTGGAGGGCAGGGACCAGGCAAGGAGGCCAATGCAGTGGGAATCGGCCTGTTGGAGGGAAGAGCAAGAAGTCGGCTGACTCAGCCCCAGGACACGCCCCCACCATGGCTTAGCTCCATTAACTGTTTCGGTAGCAGGCTCTGCTCTGGAGAGAAATACACAGTACTTGATGTAACAGGAAAACTGAAATAGGACAGTCTGAGTGAGACCAGACAAAGAAGTCTGTGCCAACCCTGAGGGGAGACGCAGGCCACACATCCTTGACGTGGCACTCTGCTCCACGGGCACCAACTTCCCTCTAACTTCCCCATAAACCACATCAGGAGATTGCGAACCTGCCGAGCCCCCCGTGACTAGATACAAACGCAGTGCGGCCATGGTACCGTGGGGCCTTGGCTGTCCTCGGTGGGCGGCTTCTTGTCCCCAGGCTGCAGCTGGGCTCCTGGCGCCTCCCGCACGGCCTCGCACACGAACAGCCTGGGCTCGCTCTGGTCCCAGAAATGGTTCACGGGAATGAGATCCATCAGTCTCTCATCCACAAAGGCGTGGCTCCTGAAAGAGAAGGCCCGTCCTGAGTCCTGAGAACTGAGAGGAGCATCTGGGTTCGCAGCCTCTGGAAACGCGTGCCAGGGACCTGGGTGAGCATCAGCAGGCTGGTGGGCACTGCTTAGGCTGCTGGCTTCGGAGCCCCTCCCCACAGCATGGTGCACCCAGCCTGCCTGAGGTGACTCTCAGATTGAAGCAAGTTGGTGAAAGAGGCCCAGTGTAGTCTTGTTGGAGAACATGTGATGCTTTGGCTCTGAAGACTCCATGGAGGGCTCTTGCCAGGACCAGTGGGTGGACCGTGCATCCTGCCAGGATGATGTGTGTGTTATGCTGCCGACAGACAAGCTGGGTCCGGAGGCAAAGGAAGGGTCAGATCTCAGAAGAGGACAGGTGCCCGAGGGGAGGCTGTGCACTGTCCCACCACCACCGGAGAAGTGATAGGCTGGGCTCCATGTGGCTCAGAGGTGGAGGGTGGAGGGAAAGCGTGAGTCTAAGACACAGTTCAAACAAGGAAAATGGGATGAGTCACAGACGGGGGGACTAAGGGAAAGGTTAGCTGTGAGGTTTCAGACCAGGCAACCAGGGTGGAAGAGCAACCAGGGTAGACAAGACCAGTTTCTGGAGAATGAGGCTCAGGTGATGGCAAGAAATTCCAGTGGACATTTGGAGCCAGATCAGCAGAACAAGGCTGCGGAGAAGTGAGGGTGGGTGTGTTCAGGTGGGACCACCAGCAGTGGCCAGTTAAGCCACCAGGGGAAAGAAGGTTCTGGAAAAGGCTTTGAGCTGGGTAGGGAGGTGGGGGCTGTAAGACCAAAGGAACAGACTCCGGCAAGGCCAGCCATGGGCTCTGCAGCCGTGGGCTCTGCCGCTGTGCACTCGGTGCAGGTGCTGGCTGCAGCATCCCCCCCGAGTCCTGAGCAGCGCCCGTGGCCCTCAGGCGTCACCTCCTGCAGAATCAAATATGAGTCCTTGGCAGAGCAGGAGCTACAAACACGAACTCCCTGACAGCGACCATTATTTCTCTAGAAAGACAATGTTGACCCGTGCAGACGCCCTCCCTTTCCAGGCGCTGACAGAGCTGAGTGACCACCACACTCACCCTGAGATTCAGCCATCGTGCGGCCCTGGTCGCCACTGCCCTTCCAGAAGCCCGGTTCTGCCAGGTAATTCCAGGGCCTCAGAGGCTCAAGTCCATCCTAACTGCCCGGGCGTTTTGGCCCTCCTGCCTGTTCTGAGCACTGGTAACTACTGAGATCCCTGAGGTCTGAAGTGTAACTCAGCGGCCTGCCTGAAAGCTGACCATTAACTGAGTATCAGTGTCAGTATTTTTTCAATGAAATCCTCCCAAACCACAGTCTTACTTCTTGGTCTCTTGGCCATTAAAGGGCAATGTCTCCCTCTGATCAATCTGCCCCGTCTTGAAGTCAAGGATGGTTACCGTGTCCATTTCCACATCGTAGAAGCAGATTTTGGAATCAGGGCTGTTGTCCGCCTGGGGGAAGAGAAAATGGAGCTCACGGTACCGCCTGGCTGACACGCCAAAGGTTTGAGAACAAGTGTCTGGTGTCCACGACCCGCCAGCCAATCTGGCCTTCCTAAGTGGACATCGATTCACTTTCATCCCACTGAGACCACAGCTCAAGCACTACTTTATAATTTCCAAGCACTGAAAACAAGTTCTAAAACGTCGTGAAGGCCCGACTCTAGCTGTCCAGCTGTGGCCAGTGCTGACCTGAGTGATGTCATCCTCGCTGAGGGGGACTGACCACAGACACAGCAGGGAGTCCAGGTCCCAACAAACCAGCTCGGCTGCTGGGGCAACAAATACCAGAAATTCAGGGAGACTGTTCCAGGCTTTATTCTAAGAGACGGTGGAAAGCTAAGGGGACCTGAGTACTTAAGAAAGGCCAAGAAGTGAATTTGTCAACATTTTAGACAGAAGATACTGTAAGCTTAACAGCAGCAGAAGGATCACAAAATCAACAGGTTTGGGTACCTATGAATATGCTTCTAATCTCCGGGAACACCATTAGCAAAATGAAAGACAAACAATAGACCGGAGACACGTCAGCAACACTCAAGGCCCCAGCCTCCTGCCCCAGAGAATCCAGACTCTCCTTTCCAAAGCACACTCCCCACCCCCAGGGGAGTGCCGGCAGGGCTGGAGGGGAGGATGGGCAGCTGATTTTCACTGCAAGCTCTCTTGTGCTACCTGAATGTCTTCTTTTTGTCATTTTTTCTTTTACCATGGGCAAGAATTCCTGATGCAAGGAGAGGCATTCTCGTCCTTCACTGTCACTGCGTGCTGGAGAAGCGGGTCTCCAGGGCCACTCGTCACTGCGCCGTCCCCACTCTTGCATTCACCCCCAGCACCATGGAGATGGTGCTACATCCCAGGATGCTCTCCCCCTCTCCCCCACTGCACGCCCCGTTTCTGGTCCTGTGCACGCGTGTTCTGGCACCGCCCTCCAGCTGCCTGGATCAGTGACCCTGGACCGCCCATCCTCCCCACGTCCTGTCCCAGTGCTCAGGCTGGCAGGACTACTCTTATCGTTCCAAGATCCCCATTTCCAGCCAGACTCCCCTTCTGAGACTCAGGCTTGTCTTTACAGGCCCACTTACTGCTTTGAGATGCCTCAAACTCAACATTGAAACAGGACGCCACATCATCCCCGCAAAGCTCCTCACCAGGTTTCCCTTTCCACCTCCACACTGCTTTGAGGGGTAGAAGCGTCCTTGCACACATCAGCCAACCCCAACCCCCAGGACAGCTGCAGTGGGCACCACCACTGAGAAGCAATCCTAGAAAGAGACGACATTATGCACCTAGGCTGGTGCCTGTGTGATGGCCCACTGACCGTGCCAGCCTCGGCCTCGCCCCTCTGCCACAGAGAGCGGACCCTTGGCCAGGCCAGGCTGTGCCACCTGCTCGCACTCTCAGTGCCTCTGCTGGTGCCCCCCCGCTGCACGCTTGCCTGGCGGGTTCACAGCTCCTCGGGAAGCCTCCCGACCGGCGGCTTGCCTGGCACCACGTGGCACAGTTTGACTCATTCTTAGATGGATGTCTGTTCATCCACAGGGAGGGGCTGAGCTCTCCTGTTTAACCACTGGCCTGTGCCCACAGTGCCCAGAGAAGCACCTGGTTCATGGAAGGCAATCGGTAACAAGGCTGTGGATGAATGGATTCACGAGCAAACACCCATGGGAGGCAGGGCCCACTGCCTGAAGAGCGGGACAGACATGCGCATGTCAGTGCCCTTCAGAACCTACCCTCTAGCTGTCATCACGCCTTTAGTTCTCTAAGCTAGAGCTCAGAGGTCCTTGCAACCCCCTCGAGCCAACAGAGCACAGCTGGCTGATGAAAAGGGATAGAAAAGAGAAGAGCTACAGAGCCCTGCAGAGGAAGAACTGCGGTTTCAGAGGAATTAGGGACTGGGGACACGTGGGGGCTCAGGCCTCGTGGCAGAAGGAGAGGTGGGGCCGCAGAGCTGTGTGCGAAGATGGGCACAGCCCGAGGACGCCGGTCCTGGGAGAGCAGCCGCTGACTTCCACCCACCTTGCTGAGGAGGATGCTGATCTTGCTGCCACTGGCGTTACACCTGAGGGAGGCCATGCCCGCTGCGCCCGGGATCAGCGAGGCCAGGTTCTTGTCGCTGCAGTGCACTTTCGCCTCTCTGCAGGGGGGACACAAGGGTCTCAGGGCAAAGCACAAGCCCAGCCCTCGGCCATTCACCCTCCCCGCATGCGGGCAGCTCACAGTCCAGGACCGGCTCTCTGAGGGACTGCAAACCTTCATCCACGAAACTCGGGGCTCCTCAAAGGCCCAAGGGTGCTCACTCTGAGGGTCTGGGCACCCAGGAGAGGGGCCAGCTTAGAATCCAGGGCTAGCTTAAACTTTTAAAGTTTTTAAATTGAGGGGCGCCTGGGTGGCTCAGTCATTTAAGCGTCTGCCTTTGGCTCAGGTCATGATCTCAGGGTCCCAGAAATCAAGCCCCGCATCGGGCTCCCTGCTCCACGGAGAGTCTGGTTCTCCCTCTGCCTCTCCTCCTGCTTGAGCTCTCTTTCTCTCTCTCAATCAAATAAATAAAATCTTTAAAAAATAATAAAATAAAGTTTTTAAATTGAGATATAATTGACAATAACAACGTATTACTTTCAGGTGTAAACAAAATGATTCAAGATTTTTCTGGGTGAATTTTTAAAGTTCCTAGGTTTACTGAGCCAATATGAGTATGTATTCCCCCTACTCTTCTGACACAAGAAGCAGCCGCTCTGCACCCAGCTTCCCTCGGTTCGTCCTGCCAGAACGGGCTTTTGTCACACTTGCTACACCTGCGGAGAAACAAAACTGCAGGTAAGCAGCCCCCACTTAGCTGGTTCTGGCTTGTTGCTGCTGCTACGAGAAGTACTGGGTGGGAAGCAGTGGCTCATCCGATTGTTCTCACTGAATTCCCATTTCCTCCGTGTTTCCCTAACATCCTCTGTCCCAGGAGCCCTCCAGGCCTCACGTGACATTTCATGGTCCCCTCTCCTTCAGCTCCTCTGGGCTGGGACAGTTGCTCAGACTCCAGGCTCATGTGTGCATCTCCTGCCTCAGTCCTAGAATTTCTCCAAGGAGCCTGGTCCTTCCGATGGAGAATGCTGTGGAAACCCGCATCCAGGTGCCAGGCATGCTTGCTGCCTCTTGGCCGCCGCACAGAGCCAGGACACACATGTGGACTAACTGCCAGATGTACGTGTATCTGACCCGGCTGTGTCTGTATTAAGCTAAACATGACTTCCACTCAACCTATCACCATGCGGCTCCTCTCGCCTCATCCCCCTGCTTATCTGTCACCTCCTCCCAACAGAGAAGTCCCAGCTCCCAAAACCTGCATCGGCTACTCAGTCCTTCACTTCTGCATGCCTGAGTGCCGGTGGGGGCCGGTCACCCCATGCCCTGTGTGGGGGAGCTCCATGGACTGCAGGGCAGCACCGTATGCGGTCCCCCAGCCAAGTGTCAACAACGCCGCCGATCCCCAAAGGGCTGGGGTCAGCACCGCCTCTCCAGGGAGGCTGTTTCACACATTTCTAGCACACTTAGATTGTTCTCCCACATTCCATATTCCATCCTGGGATCCGCTAAAAGATTTTTAAAATTTGCATACTTTTTAGGCTCACTTTGTGCTATAAAGTTCTACGGGCCCTGACAACTACAGTGCCTTGTATCCACCAAATAGAAAATTTTACCACCTAAAAACTGCCCTGCTCTATGTGCTCAACTATACTCCTGTTTGCTCCCTCCCCCAGTATACAAAGATTAAGAATTTATGCCAAGGGGCGCCTGGGGGGCTTAGTCGGTTGAGTGTCCAACTCTTGATTTCAGCTCAGGTCACGACCTCAGGATCCTGAGACTGAGCCCCGTGTAGGGCTCCATAATCAGCGTGGAATCTGCTTGGGATTTACTCTCTCCCTCGCCCTCTGCCCCTCCCCCCATTTGCTCCCTCACTCTTTCTCCAATAAATAAATAAATATTTTTTAAAAAGGATTTATGCCAAAACATAAGGTGTTACAAAAAATTTAGTAGAATGAAAAAAACTCAGTGGAATGAAACGGGAACATGAACAGGTTTCCAGCTCCTAACCATTTTCTACACACCACTTTGTCTCCTAATTTTTTTTTTAATATTTTATTTATTTATTTGACAGAGAGAGACAGAGTGAGAGAGGGAACACAAGCAGGGGGAGTGGGAGAAGCACGCTTCCCGCTGAGCAGGGAGCCCGATGCGGGGCTTGATCCCAGGACCCTGGGATCATGACCTGAGCTGAAAGCAGATGCTTAACGACTGAGCCAGCCAGGTGTCCTGTCCTGACTAATTTTTAAAATGTGCACAGGCATCCCTCATTTAGTACACGTCCAAGATACTGTGTTTTTTAACAAACTGAAGGTCTGTGGCTACCTGCGTTGAGCAAGTCAATCAGCGCCATTTCTCCAGCAGCATTTGCTCACTTGGTGTCTGTCACATTTTGGTAATTTTTGCATTATCTCAAACCTTTTTATTATTGTTCTATTTGTTACAGTGACCTGTGATCAGTGCTTACAATGTGCTGGAAGTTCACATGATGGTTACCACTGTTTAACAAAAAAGGAATTTTTAATTAAGGCATGGACATTTTTTTTGGACACAATGTTACTGTATATTTAATAGACTATAGGAGAGTAAAAACATGAGTTTTGTATGTACTGGGAAACCAAAAAATTCATGTGACTCATTTTATTGTGATATCTGCTTTACCAAAGTGGTCTGAAACTGAACCCACAGTATCTCCAAGGTAGGCCTGCACTTTTATTTAGACAAAAATTGTACCTTCGGGAAAGATCAAAGCTTTTGAAATGAGCCAGGTCTGTCCCCACAACCAGGAAATTTCCACAGACGTCGAGGAAGCATGGGCTCCCCTCTGCCTCGGAGAACAGTAAGAGCTGTTTCACAGTCCCCTGAGGAAAAGGAAAGAATTAGGATTAAGGAAAGCAGCCTGTGCAGCCTTTCATTTCTGTTAATGAATGTTACTCAAAGGTAACCTTGTACACACTAAGCTGACACTCAGTGTTTACTGATGGGCCAGTGTAACCAGCACCTTGCAGATTCTAATGCTACATGGGGCAGATTAGGGGTTTCTGGTACTCACAACTGCTAAAACCCTGGGAATTTCTCAGGATAAGGGCCACAGAGGTGTCTTCTGTTCTGTTACTGAAGGGGACTTTTGGTCTCCGCCCAAGGGCGGGGTGGGCTGCCAGGACGACCAACC